TGAACTTTTCAACCTTTTGCCACATTTCAGGCTTCAAACATAAAGATATAAAATTTTAATTTTTTGTGAAGAATCAACAACAAGTGGGACACAATCGTGAAGTGGAATGAAATTTATCGGATGTGTCAAACTTTTTTAACAAATAAAAAACTGAAAAGTGGGGCGTGCAATATTATTCGACCCCCTTGCGTTAATACTTTGTAGCGCCGCCTTTTGCTGCAGTTCCAGCTGCAAGTTTCTTGGGGTATGTCTCTATCTTAAATTCATCAGCAACTTTGTCCTGTCTCTCTTCTTTCTCCCTCCTCTGAACCTTATCCGCCTAGTCAACCTTTTTCTGTCTTTCAGCGTCCTCCTGCCTCTGAAATAGCCGAACTTATCCATAAATCCAAGCCTTCTACATGCTCACTGGATCCTACAGCGCTTGTTAAATCTTGCATTTTGTCACGTCTTCCGTTCATTCCTGCCATCATTCACTCTTCTCTTTCCTCTGGAACTGTCCCAGTTATTTTCAAAACTGCAGTTATCACTCCAATCCTTAAAACCTGGATTGGATTCCAATACTTTCAGTAATCTCCGTCCTATATCTAACCTTCCATTCATCTCCAAAATTCTGGAAAAAACAGTCGCCTCTCAACTCCACCTTCATTTAACTGATAACGGTCTATATGAACAGTTCCAGTCTGGTTTCTGCCCAGGTCATAGCACAGAATCTGCTCTCCTCACCAACTCTCTTCTCATGGCAGCAGATTCTGGATTACTTTCTCTCCTCATCCTCCTCGATCTCAGTGCGGCTTTTGATACCATCTCCCAAAACATCCTCCTCCACAGACTTCCATCCATTGGCATCACCCACACACCCCTCGCTTGGTTTCAGTCATATCTCTCTGGCCGCACTCAGTTCATCCAACTGAAATCATTCAGATCCCATTCCTCTCCTGTGACTTCAGGTGTGCCCCAAGGCTCTGTCCTGGGGCCCCTTCTTTTCATCATCTACCTTCTCCCCCTTGGTAATATCTTTCGTAAATTTAACATCCATTTCCACTGTT